GGTCGCGGCGCCGGGCGGGCGACCGTCCTTCTTTGGTCAGCCCGGGCCGGGCGGGGCTCCCGCACCGACGCCCAAATATGGCCTGCGGGGCCGCGGGCCGCGGCTACAAAAGGCAGGTCGGCCGCACAGCGCCACTGCCAGGAGCCCGCGCCCGCCCCGCTCTGCCCCGTTTCCCCAAGCCGACCAGGCCCGCGTGCAGCAGGTAGCCAAGGCGGGGCAGGGGGCAGACGGGGCGGGCGGGTCGGGAAGGAGGGGTGGACGGGGCGGCCGGGACCGACGGGGCGGGACGAGGTGGATGGGGCGGACGGGGCCGTCCGTGAGGCAAGGCTGGTGTTGCCGGGACCCAGCGCTGAGCCCGGGGGTCAGCAGGCTAGTCCGGACTTCATGGTCTCCTGGGCCTAACGCGCCCTCCATCAGGCCCCCTCCGACTGGACGGGATGGGACGGGGCAGGTGTGGGGTCCAGCTCCTGCGGGTGATCGGCGGGGAGCCCAGGGGACCCGCGCCCGGAGGGGCCGGTGTGGCCTGCGGCCCGCCAGGCCAAGGCCGCCCGGAGCGGCGCCGGCTGAGCGGTGGCTCGCCCGCGGTCAGCATCCCGCGCCCTGTCTCGTAGTAACCCGACACCATGTGCGACGAAGACGAGACCACCGCCCTCGTGTGCGACAACGGCTCCGGCCTGGTGAAGGCGGGCTTCGCGGGCGACGACGCGCCCCGCGCCGTGTTCCCGTCCATCGTGGGCCGGCCGCGGCACCAGGTCAGCCCGCCCGCCCGCCCGCAGTCCTGTCCCGTCCGGTCCCCATCTCCGTCCGGTCCCCATCCCCGTCCGCGTCCCCGTCCTGTCCCCGACCCCGCTGACCGTCCCCACCGCCCGTCCCCGTCCGCGTCCTCGTCCGGTCCCCGCCGCCCGTCGGCGTCCCCGTCCCGTCCCCGTCCCTGCCGCTCGTCCCCGACCCGTCCCCATCCCCGCCGCCCGTCCGTGTCCGCGCCCCGTTCCGACTCCACTGCCCATCCCAGTCGGTCCCCACCGCCCGTCCCCGACCCGTCCCCGCCACCCGCCTCCGCCGCCCAGCCCGGGCCGCCGTCACCGGTGCCGCGTGTCCCCGCAGGGCGTCATGGTGGGCATGGGGCAGAAGGACTCCTACGTGGGCGACGAGGCCCAGAGCAAGAGGGGCATCCTGACACTGAAGTACCCGATCGAGCACGGCATCATCACCAACTGGGACGACATGGAGAAGATCTGGCACCACACCTTCTACAACGAGCTGCGAGTGGCGCCTGAGGAGCACCCGACGCTGCTCACCGAGGCCCCGCTGAACCCCAAGGCCAACCGCGAGAAGATGACCCAGATCATGTTCGAGACCTTCAACGTGCCCGCCATGTACGTGGCCATCCAGGCCGTGCTGTCGCTGTACGCCTCGGGCCGCACCACAGGTGAGCCCAGGCCGGTCGCATCCTCAGGTCACAGGTCACGGGTCACGGGCTGGGCCCTGGGGTCACGTTCCAACGTGGAGAGCGGAGGGGGAGAGGTGTCGGCGGCTCGGAGCCTGCGGAGTTGGAGCTTCCCCTTATTTAAGGTGCAGGGTGCCGCACGGAGGCGGAGACCATGGCGCAGTGCCCAGTGTGTGCATACCATCGCACGCATGTCAGAGAAGCACACACGTGTTTACAGGGCCTGCATCCTAACCACCCGCCAGTTAGAGGGGAAAAAACATGCCCGGATGCTTCCATGACGGGCTAATGGCTGGTAAGAGAAATGGTCATTTGAACGTCTCCTTGGGAAACGTTTCTACAGTGGCTTTAAAAGAGATGAACTGCCATTGCCTTCAGATTAACGTATCCACGAATTACAGGCCTTCTTGTTCTTGCGTGTAATGGAGATCATTTTGTCTGGACCCATTCCCAGTCTCTCTCTCAGCCAAGACCTGGAGCAAGATTGTGGCTGGGCAGAGCAG